CTCGCCAGTCCCTCTCAAGTCCTAGAAGTCGTAACATGCCGCGTCGTTGCGCGCGGCGTATCGCGTGATGACATGCGGCAATTTCTCGATGCGTATCAGTTAATCGATTAGAACAGCGGAACGGATGAATTCATGTGGAGACAAGACCCTACAACTTTTTCGCCGAGTATAAACCACAACCACAGTCAGCCATGTCAGCCATCGTACGAGCATGGGGGGGTCGTACCAGCCCCTGAAAAAAAAGGGGGGGGGGTCGTAAAAGCTCGACCAAAATCCCCATCGAGCTGCCCTGCGTCCCGCGCATCACTGCGGCACATTAGGATCGACTTGCCGCACACCCAAACCTTCCTTCACCTAATCGAGGCTTTGTCTTATGGCCTATGTCTTCTCCACAACTTGGCAACTCCGGTCTTCTTATCTCCAGGCCCAAGTCCTTTCAAGGGAGGAACCATGCAGATGCGCAGTCGAGTGCCTTCCCCCAACCTCGAACCTTAGCGTCAACTTTGAGGAACAGTATATGGCATCGGCATCGCACCCCTTCCCAGCAGGGTGGCATGAAAGGCACAGACCTAGCACAGCGCTGTCACATTGAGTGAACATGTCCTTGTTCGAATGCTGCGCACATCACCTCGCTTGCAGTGCCTCTTTTTCTTGAGCTGCCGCGCTCGGAACTGCCGCTTTACAACCCGAATTTCTGTGCCTTCTTGTGCGTATCATAAATTTACGTATCTTGTGCGTATCATAAATTTATGTATTGCTTTTCGGCTTTTCCAGTTTTCCTCTTCCTTATTTTTACTTCTTTAGTTCTCATATATGTAGTCACTTCTTTTACTTCTGCTTCGTAGCGCTCTTCCCTTGTTGAATCATCGGAGTGAATGTCACGTGTCTTTCATTCCATGGACTAGCATATCGACTATTCTCTCTTGCAGTTTTTATTTCTTTCATCATGCATATATCGATTTTATCAAAACACTTTACCGATATTGTTCTTTTCTGCTCTACCTTTGACTTCCAACATCGACAGAAATGTTTAATCAACATTCTTCACAACCAGCTTTGTTCAGTAATTGTTTGTTCAATAATTAGTTACTTACGCAGCTGTGAGCATCCAAGTCTTCCAGTGACAGGTAATCTTATCAGTCGATAAAAACGGATAAGATGCCATCTGCGCTACATTTTATCACTTCTTACCGCTTTAATGCCGAGTATTAGAGGCTCAGTATGTGAATTCTTCCCTTTAGCCTTTCACTTTCGTGATAAAAGTAAAAGGATAAAGTCTTCGCCGTTGATCAATCCCTTTGTGGGATGCGGCACGCATTCTACTTCCATTCAGAATCCGTGCCTTATTGAATGCGATGTGGCACTTTCGACTTTTTTTCCACTTTGCTGATAACACTAGAAAATGAGCATCCCACAATCCTACTATATATAATCCGCTAGGTGTGTGTGTGTATATATATATATATATAATATATATATATATATATATATATATATATATATATATATATATATATATATATATATATATATATATATATATATATATATATATATATATATATATATATATATATATATATATATATATATATATATATATATATATATATATATATATATATATATATATATAATCCGCTAAGTTTGTCTGTTGGTGTGTGTGTGTGTGTGTGTGTGTGTGTGTGTATGTGTGTTTGACCGGAAATTCATAACTTCCTTCAAAAGAGTGATAGAGCGCTCAAACTGATAAGTCATGTAGGGGGTCGTGCAGGAACACTATTGGTGGGTGGCAGGAATTGATAACAGCTGATAAGATACCATAAGGAGCCTCAGAAAGAGTGGGTTACCTAATTCATAACACCGGCCAGAGCAATGACCGGACGTTGGATACAAGTAGTAAGATAGGGGCAGGATGGGAACATTATTGGTGGGTGGCAGGAATTGATAACAGCTGATAAGATACCATAAGGAGCCTCAGAAAGAGTGGGTTACCTAATTCATAACACCGGCCAGAGCAATGACCGGACGTTGGATACAAGTAGTAAGATAGGGGGCAGGATGGGAACATTATTGGTGGGTGGCAGGAATTGATAACAGCTGATAAGATACCATAAGGAGCCTTAGAAGGGTATAGGAACACCTAACTCACAACGTCGACCAGCACAACGGGGCGTCGCTTCCAAGAGGCAAAATAGTGTGCAGGATGGGACCATTATTGGTTTGTGGCAGGATATGATAAGAGCTGATAAGATACCCCGAAAATTCACAGCAGAATTGTTGCAACACTGTGGAACTGCTCCAGCAAGTAATTCAGGGGTGCTCAGGGAACATTAAAGGTGGGAGATAAATTCTATCAGTGTCCGACAACGGCTTTTGGGACTCCGTATATGCTCACATCATCGTGGCCATCTATTCCTAGCAATATCCCTCAGTTTAGCGGTCGGAATTGCTTCCACCGCTAAACGCTCGAGTTTCACCGGAAAGGGAATTGTTGGCCAGTGAGGAATGATAAGAGCCACTATGATTTCGACTTCATCATCGAGATTCTTCCCACCGCTATGCTGTCCTATCCCCCAACGAAGAAATATGATAGGCACCAAACACTGGCAAATGTTCATTAAAATGGAGAAACATGATGAAATGGGTCGTCCTCGAACATGGGAATTAGGCTAAGTGTCGGTGCTCAGGACAAATCCTGTCAGTTATCGTCGTAGTACATGTGGTTAAGGGCGTGGCGCGCGGCGGTGCCGGCATCAGCCGAAATGGTATATATATATATATATATATATATATATATATATATATATATATATATATATATATATATATATATATATATATATATATATATATATATATATATATATATATATATATATATATATATATATATTATGTGTGTGTGTGTGTGTATGTGTCACGAAATTCATAGCGCCGGTCCCAATAGCAGTGAGGCATTGATTTCAAGAAGTGATGTGAAGAGTGTGATGGGAACACTACTGGTTGGTAACAGAAAGTGATATCAGTTGATAACCTTCGATAAGAGGGCTCTTGATTCTAACCAGGAAAGGATGGTAGGTCAAAGTGGTAATTTGAAATGAGATGTATACCAACCGACGTGTCTTTGGACAGTTATTTCAAATCTGCTTTCCAAATCTGCTAAACGATTCTCCGAACAAAGTTATGGATGTTTGTAGGATCGTATCGTTACCAGAGGAGAAAAATTGTTGCGAGTGTGAAAGGGGAGGGTTTCATATGACACCGGCGATGCTGTACCTTGCCATAGAATGACTTTATGTCGCAAACGTTTTTGGGAATGGAAGCCGAGCTTGTAACATGTGGCGAGCGCCCTGGAACGATTCAACAGAGTTTAGGAAATTCGCGAGAAGCTGTGTGTTTTTAGTAACTTATAGTGCGCTGTGACTCGCTGCCAGAGTAGGAAGCTTCTGTGCGGGCGCGATCCTGGAGAAAGCTGACCAACTAGGCAGCGTCTTTAGCTGAATCTGAGCATGTACTTAGGCGCCCCTTATAGATGTACTTGGTTGTTGGCAGTAGTGCACTTTTTTTTCTTTTCTGCCGTCATTAAGCGCTCCGAAGACGCGCGTTCGCTACGCGCGGGGTTTTTTCACTTAAGCTTAAATTGTTGAGTCACAGATGAGATTTCAATGCAAAAATCAGTGAATTTGGATGAGAGGATAAATGTGGATAATTATTTCCGAGAATATCCATTCGCCGAGTCTGTAAGTCTGAGAAGATGGCGAGTTCACTCATTCCTTGTTTCTGCCTATTAACGCAGCCTTCCACGGCCCTGTCCTGCGAACACTTGACTCAACAGATGATATGGCATTCGTTTTGATTCTGCAGCTATTTCAAAACATCCTACTCCTTATGCTGTATTTTATATGCGCTTATCATTTTCCTGTAGTTTGCTTTTGGTACTTTTCGTGGCAGTTCGCTTCGGAGGGGGCGCTGGGCTAGTGTTCATCGATTACGCTTACTGCCTGGCTACTTTGTAAAGATTTGTAAACTCTGGCAAAGCTGAGCAATAGTATGAGCTTCATTTCCACTTCACAAGGTTTGAAAGCTCATCAACGCTACCCCGCCTCCCCCCCCCCCTTTTTTTTTCCCCAATCCGAAGAGCGCCATGTTGAGCGGGGTGATAATGAAGCCCGTTTTCGGATATTGCTTGTGGATATTTTCGTGCGTGGCTGATGTGCTACTATTGATGCGGAAACTATTCTTCAAATTAAATTTAATATTGATTCAAACCACTCATGGTAGCGAGCAGTCCCCGTTGTCGATGGCCAGCGTTTTGATGGTAAATAGCGGTTTTGCTCTATTCACTAGGCGCCATGCCCCTTACAAGGGAGGTCTTTCAGGTCGTGGCGCGCTTTTCGGAAATGATTTGTTGCATGTTGTAGAGGTCCGAATAAGGATCACAAAAATGGGTTTCATTTTTGCTATGCGTTTCTGGGTAGGTCAAAAACTGAGTGCAAAGTTTGCTGGGGAGAAGCGATTTTGAACCATTTTTCCGAGGCTTTTTCTATTCATAATGTAAGCATCACTCGCATAGCAGATGAGACCTTCGTCGACACTGCATCGAAAACAATATTAATTCGAGGTAAAAAAGTACTTTATTTGGCACATAGTGAGGCAGTATTGTAGTTTTCTCAAGAAGATTCCTCGGGCAGCAATTCCCAACCCCGCAGCTAGCTGGGGGGGTGTTCAGTAGGGCCATGTTTGCGCCAATATGACGCGTAGACGCCAATTTAAGTCAAGGATTCGTCAATAAAGGGTCCAAATTCAATAACCTCTATATACAGACGTTCAGCAAAAATTTTCTCCTCGAGATGAGCGCTTAACAGCCCCTGCGTGCGGGTTGGCAACAATTCAGTGGAAGAATGCTCTTGCAGCAAGTCGGCGCTAGGCTGCGCCGTGGTCAAAAATGGGTGTCGTAAATCCAAAACCGAAAAACGTATAAAGTATCCGAAAAATGCAAAGAGTTAGTCGCCAAGTGGATCCGATCCAAGAACCTTCTTCGCGAGAGCCCACGCACTACTAATGCACTCCGCCATCCGCCGACCGCGAAACAGCGGTTGCGAGAATCGTTCAAGTAACTTCGGTATTACTCCCCTCCGTCCACTTTCTTATTGGCTTTACTTTGCTATCTTTTAGTGGAAGGGAACACCTCATTGAAATTATGCACTGTCAAAGTTACAGCTACACGTTAAAATCGCGATTTTCTCGTCAAATTGTTTTCAACTCAGTTTTCCTTGTACTCCCAGAAACCAAGCAAAACGAAACGCATTTTTGTAAACGCTTGGTCATGACCCGTACCTACAACAAGCAAAAACTCATTTTTTTTAAAAAAAGCGCCTCACGCCTCAAAGACGCTCCCTTTGTTAAAAAGCCAGACTTCAGACGAGTACAGCTCTGTTTCCTAGGAAAGGTTGAGGGTGGCTTGCCGGGTCACCTTCATTTTTCGATGTCTTCCGCGTAAAGTCAACGAATGATTCTTATTTCTGAATGAACATTGAGTTGTCTTTTTTCACAAAGGCAGCAAGTAGAAAAAAAAAGTTGGAAAACGCTTTCAATTTGCTCATTGCGACCCGTTTTATGACTCCGACCCGGCTAGTCTGCTGCATAATCGCTTATAAAACACTCGTGACTTTCAGGACTTGTAGCCCACTAAGCCATGAATTTAAACTCTGGAAATAAAAGTAACGTTACCCTTCTTTGTGAAAGCGCCGCCAGCATGTTTAGAAAACACATGTAATTTCGTTTTTTTATGGCTCGGTATTCGTAATGAGGAGGCGGATGTGGTGTAGTTGGCACACTTACCGTGCGGCGGGAGTCAACTCCCGGATCGGCTCCCGTCTAGGCCAGCTAAGCCTCCTTCCCTCCAGGGACGGTAAATTGGTGCCATATTCGTCTGGGTGGATCGAAACGCTTACTTGTACATCGGCTGGCCCCTGCAGGTCATTATATAGGCCCCATCGCATTCAATGAGCCACTGCGACTCTAAATGGAAGTAGCACGCGTGCCGACATCTCAAAAAGTGATGCAAATCAAAAGCGATACACTTTATACTTTTTATATTTACAAATGGCATATGAAGAAAGCAGTCGCAGTAACTTTCGCTGCTCGCGTGCCTGACGTAACCTCCCTGGAATCGTCTCAAAAAAATGCCCGCTGAATACACGTTTTTTTCGCCATCGAAATCAGACTTTTAATCAGGCCTTGATTTTGGCCGAAACAACTATAATGTTTGCTTCAGAAAAAATTCCAAGCTTATCAGGGTCCCGTTTTAGCTAACCAGTTTTTTCTAGCGTCATATCGTCGTTTTTCCTAACGTAAAGTTACGATCGACGCCTGGCTCATGCAGTGGTAAATTCCATTCACAGATATTTGCTTTGAATGACTTGTGAGCTGTGCCCGCGCTGGCTTGCTAGGCCCATGTTCGGCAAAAATTACGTCATCGTAAGAGGAGGAGGCTTTTTTCTCGTTTATTTATGTGAGAGTGACGCGTATTCGCCTGACAGCTGGCCAATACCAATTGAGGGCTCTGCCGGCTCCGGCGCCGTGCGCTAGAGATGAGGAGATTGTGGGAGGCAGGAAAGGGGCGAGTGAATTCCCAAGGCTAAGAGCAGGGTGCCTCTCGGCTATTGATGAGCGGTGGTTTGGAGCGTAGAGAGGCGTAGGCGCGCTGGTAGAGAGGCGTAGGGAGAAACATGAGCCATAGGATCACTTGAGCGCGTTTTCTTTGCATAAACAAGGGAGCGTCGGAGATTCAGTGTTGCCCATTCCAGTTGCGTAAGTTCTTATACCAACGAGTATTCTTTTCTGGAACTCAATTATGTATGCTTTCATTTTATCACAGGATATAAGCACAGAAGTTGTCGAAGTTCCAGGGCACAAGGAAACGGAAAAATGTGTAACAGAGTGTGAGCGTTTCGGCTCTAAAAGTTGTCAATTAGCAGGGTTATTTTTTGTTTTGTTTTGTTTTTCTTCCTTCATCTTCGTTCCTTTCCCTTTTTTTCGAGAGGCTGTTATGGCGTGCGAGAGAAATTCAAACGTATTTTCTTGTTTTGCGAGGTCATTACCCAATAAATTGGGCCGCTTCTTTTTTTCAGAACTCCAAAAATTATTCAAATTGGCCTAGCACGAGGATGTAATGATCACGTGGAATTGAAGTTGATTGTTTTGCCCGAGATGGTGACTAATATTTCCGTTTAAAATGCGATTCACTTTGTTGTTTTCCGCTATTGGTTTCGTGATTTCTGATAAAGGTCACACTCCTGCATTCCTATAAACAAAGTTCCTGTGGATTTTATTGCCCTCAAAATAGGAACCATTCATCGGAGGCACTATTCAACTACTACTACTACTACCCCATTTTCCGAAACCAGGCTAGTTATCGACTTTCTTTCCACAAGAGCAGA